TGTTCCAGTGGGATCCAGCGTGTCCTGGTGAGTAAAGATCAATACTAACATAATATTTATATGAATTACTAAAGACTGTTGTTCTCTTTCACAGAAAGGTGTCGCTGATGGAGCTGTCCATGGTATCATCCACAAAGTGCAGTGAACCACCACCAGAGGGAGCCCTGATCCTAACGTGAGAACACAAGGTATTCTGAGAAATGAGAGAAACAATCATGAAATAATGACAAATAATGTGTTTTGATTGTACTTTTAGGATTCATCGTCATCTCTGCTAAGACGTCTACAACTACAATGACTTATCTCGCTCCAGTCAGATGATCCACACACTTCTGTAAGTTATTGTCTGAAAATACACTTTAAATCTGTGGGCTAAAGTAGAATATAAAGTTACACTAAACTTGTGTTTTAGAATCCAGAAACATTCCTGGTGTGTGTGTGACCCGTCAGATGCTCCGGCCCACATGAGAGGAAGAGGTGAACGAAGCCTAGTCCAATAAACGACTTGGCCCAACACAAGTGAGAAGGCCTTCAGTCTGTGTAATCTGCTGTTCCTCTGAAGTTCAGTCTAATCGAAACTGAAGCACCACTCCTGATGAAGATCTCCAGAGGAACCAGAACCTCCAACAGTGGTGAGAAAAAACAAAACTATACTAAATGTTTACAAATTTTACAACAAGATTGTTACTCTATGATCCCTGTTATGTTGTGACTGCAGGTGCTGAGGAGGGTTGGAGCTGCGGATTTAATGAAGGAACAAAAAGAAATGAATGTTCTTTGGAGGAGTCAAAAACAAGTGATGAATCTGTGAAGGAGACTGCACGCCTGGACAAAAATGACGATGAGACGGACCACAGGAACGATGTGGAACACTTGGCCTCATGGTGACAACCAAGAAGATTATTGTGGACTTGTACAAAAATGGGCAAAACAACCAGCAAACTGTCCCTGTGGGCACTGAGGTAGTAGAGAGGGTGACCGTGACTGAGGACCTGTCCTGAGACCTTCACACTGTCTCAGCTGTGAGGAAGACCCAACAACACATTTACTACTTGAGGAAACTGAGAAGCACCAACATCCCCAGTCCAGTGATGGTGAAGTTCTACAACTGTGCCATCAGAAGTCTTCTGACATGTGGATTTTTCGTGTGGTTCTCCGCTGCGTAAGGTCGACCTACACGCTCTCCAGCGGGTGGTAAAAACAGATCAGTAGCATCTACATCACTGACGGGGGAGTGACGACACCACCCTGCTCATCACCTTCTCCACCTGCTGCCCTCAACTAGAAAGTACAGGTTCATAGAGTCCAGAAGAACCAGACTGAGCCACAGCCTGTATCCCCCGAGTGTGAGGCTGCTGAACACTGCCCCCTTCCCCTCTCTGCCTTTCTCCCATGGACAATAACCACATCCTCCAATAAAAGAACACTGAACTGGACTTTGTGTTGTTGTAGTATTACATATGTATGTACTGCTCTGAATGTAGCATTGCACTTTACATCAAAACTCTGCAGTGTTTGATGCTCTAAATCAGGCATGTCCAAACTATGGCCCGGGGGCCAAATGCGGCCCTCGGACACATTTTTCTTGGCCCTCAGGCTTCCAGGTAAATTGGCCCAAATGACCTTGCATCAATTAAAAAGAAATTTTTTGCTGCAAGTTTTTTGAAAATCTACCTTGATAAAGCAAATATTTCATATTTCGTGTGTAGTTTAAGGATTTTAGCATGAATAAAGACTGATGGCTCATTCTAACATGATAAACAGGCACATATTTCAATTATTCCCTGTACTGAGCACCAGTCTACGGTCCTCGATCGGCCCTCTGCTTCATCTGTGTTTAGAAATGTGGCCCTTGACGAAAAAAGTTTGGACACCCCTGATTTAAGGACAACACTGTGTTTTTATATATTGGTTTTATTTATTGATTGTTTGGCCATCAGTTAATTATTGTTCAAATAACGATCAGACAGAGTAGGTTCTTACGTTCAGGTGCACTACCAGACAAAAGTTTGGACACCCCATGTCATTTTGTGTTTTATGTTTATCACATTCTGTATTTAAACACTTACAAAAGACTTCAAATATATGAAGTAAGATATATGGAATTATGTAGCAAAGGTTTTTTAATATATATTATTATAAATTACCTTTTTTTAATTATAACATAATCCATATATATGTGTAAAATGTAGCTACACAGAAATATCTAAGCCAAAAGAAAAAAAAAAAAACATTGAATGAGAGGGTGTATCCAAACTTTGGACTGGTAGTGCACATGGATTTGATAAGAACAGAGTTATAGTGAATCTCATGGTGTGTCTCGCACAGTTCATCTGGCAACATTATAAGCTCTACCAGTGTCCAGTCTCAATAAATCTGCACTAACAGACAAAAGTTGGGACACACATTTTCATTAGGGCCTATCGCTTTCACTACGACGAGCACACGGGCAACGATGAGCGTATGGGCGAATGTGAGAGGACACCATGCAGCTTCGTCATCATCTAGACAAGTGGAGCATCTAAAGTTATCCAGTTCATTTTGATAACTATCATGGTTTACGTGCGGCGAAGCCACAAATTTCGATCAAAATTTGGGATAATTTCCAATGTCAAGATTCACTCCCGTTCGCACAGGCTGAGTCCGATCGTGCTGAAATTTGAATCACTAATGTGTGATCTCAGCCTGAATATAATACACTATAAACCATATGAAAAATGAACACTATAGCGCCCCCCATCATAGACATGAAACGTCAATCTTATCGGATCTGTAACAAATTTGAGAATTAAAATCTTTGTATGACTATAAGCAAAAGAATGAAAACTTTGCACATCAGTTCCGTGAGATGGGTGTATTGGAGGAGAGGGAGCAGCCCAAGAACATAGAGAAAAATCCCGCATACCGTCTTATTTGCAAATAGTGAGATTTATTAGAACAAACCGTGCAACACCCCAAAATACGTATGTGGCACTGGATTGGGTATCCTTTTTGCATTTACAGAATAATAACATGACAATAACATCAGAATAATTTGAAATAAAATGCTATTTTTTATTGTGCTGACAGCATAAAGTGCTGTTGAAATGTCCATGGTTGCCTAGGCTGAAGTGAAGGTTGGGCAAGACCTGGCTGCTGTGGGCCTGGATGTTGAATCTCATTAGATGAGATGTACTGGACCTGGACGAGGCAACTACTGATGACTTGTGAGGGTTGGAAGGATGTTATTTCTCATTTTCCTCTTTTTGTCCTGAAATGACACAAAGGTTTGATTAATAATGTTGGTAGCATTAAATTTCGATTCATTGTGAATACACAGAAGCATGATTATTGTTAAGATGGTGCTAACAGGTGGAAACATAGTAGTGACTGTATTTTAAGTTCTGAAATGATCCGGATGTGTGTGTCTAATACATGTCTTTGATTCTCCTGTATAGAAGATGTGTGTTGTGTGATGCTCTTACATAGTTGTCCATTAAATCATTAAAAAGTACAATATATCTTTGTTATGAATGTTAACTTACTGTAGAGCTTGGCACAGAGGAAGGACCAGTCGTGTTTTGATTTCCTGTTGTCTGGTGATGAGACACTCTTGACATTAGAGCATTCACTTTCCTCTGGAGAGTCAAAGAGAACGTCTTTGTCAAAAGGCTCATGAGGCACGACTGGAGAGCCTGGTGATAGGATGTCATCATTGGGCAAAGAGCCACTATCAGCCAGTTGTGCTTCAACCCAACTAGTCAAGTCGGCTGCTGTTTCCTCCCAGGATCCTCCCAGGACAAAATCATCCAAACACTGTGCGCTCGGGTCCTGAACGCCAATGGGTAATGGGGCATTAGGAGGTTCCACGGGTGCAAGAGGAGAAGGAGGCACAGGTCTGGTGTACAAGGCCTGGTTGCCGTGGGTCAGGTTGATGTAGCTCATTGGTTGAGTTGTACTGGAGTCCATGACAGTCTGCTGAGAGGTAGAGGCTACAGGAACAGCAAACTTCCAGTGGTTTGTGACAACTGGAAGGCCATTTGTTTGTCTCTTCTTGGCCTTTTTGCCCTGAAATGACACAAGGGTTTTAGTAATAATGTTGGTAGCATTCAGTTTCCCTTCACTGTGAATACCTAGAGGCATGACTGGAGTTAAGATGGTGCTCGCAGGTGGAGACACATTAGTGACTGTATTTTAAGCACTGAAATGACCCAGATGTGTGTGTACAGTATTATACATGTCTTTGATTCCCCTGTTTATAATCAGTGTTGGGGAGTAACAGATTACATGTACCGGAGTTATGTAATCAGAGTACAAATTATGAGTAACTGTATTTGGTTACAGTTACTGTTTCAGTGAGTGGTAATTGGATTACAGTTATGGTTGAAATAAATGGATTACACGGTGGTATTTTCCTGTTTTCACATTTGGGGCTATATCCCTTTTTTTTTTCTTTTGGTAATTCCACTCATTGCTGGACACTAAACCAGGACTAAACAAACTACATTTTGGGGTATGTAATCTGTAATCTGTATGGGAATACATTTGAAAAGTCACCTTCCCAACACTGGTTATAAGATGTGTGTTGTGTGATGCTCTTACATAGTTGTCCACGGGGGACCATCCAGGATACTTGGCCTCGTGAGCCCTTCTCTCTCTGTGAGCCTGCTCGTAGTACGGAGCCTGCTCTTGATCAGACAGCATCTGCCACTGCAGAGGAACAAGACACATGTTAAACAGGGATTCTGCCTTCTGCTTTTACATCTGCTCCAAATGACAAGATGCACTTTACATTTGTGAACTGTAAGTAAGTCTTTATTTATATAGACATTTTCTGTCCCCAAAGACGCTTTACACAGCATTATTCATTCTATACCCTGGTGATGGTAAACTACTATTGTAGCCACAGCTGCCCTGGGGCACACTGACAGAGGCGCGGCTGCCATGCCACTCGGCGCCATCGGTCCCTCCGACCACCACCGTCACTCACACACCACACCAAACATGCAAACTCCAAACAGAAAGGCCCAGGCGATCCAGGGATCGAACCCAGAACCTTCTTGCTGTGAGGCATGAGTGCTAGCCACTCAGCCACCGTGCCGCCACGGTGTACTGTACTGATAACCAATGGTCCATGACTGAACCCAAGTCCCTGTGTGTGAGATGAATGCTCCTGTAGTCTGGTGTGTTCCACTTACCCTCTGTCCCAGCACCACATTGACTTTTGCGCTGTCGGTGATGTGGAGCTCCTGCACCACCTTGGGCCTCTGCTCAGCCCTGAACAACATGAACGCATTCGGAGGCTTTTTTATGTAGGTTTTGTCCTCTGCGTCATCCTGCTTCCTCCTGCTACAAACACAAGAATCTATGTTACAAGGACATACAATTATTGCTGTGGAAAAATTAGTTTGTGTAATGTAAATGTCTGTTTGGGTTCTTCCATCAAAATGAGGTTTTATAGATTCTAGTTTTACATGCAGAAAGTGGATGTCAAAGTGTTTTGCTCTGTTCTTTACCTTAACGTAGCAGAGGTATCAGAGAAGGCCGGTACTGTGTAGTAAACACCAGACGTGTTTATATTGGCTGTCGTCTGGTGAGTCGCGATCTTGATCTTTTTTGGACTGGAGCACTCACTTGAGTCTCCAAAAAGTACAGCCTCAATGGGTTCAGAAGCTGCCCTTTTTGTCCCATGTGAAGCTGTCTCTGAAGTGTCAAAGGGAATGTCAACTTCAAAACGAGACATGTCCGGAGCACCCTGTGATAGGACGTCCTTTAGTCGTAACGCAGCGGTGTCCAGGAAGCTCAAAAAGTCCAGCTGGCTCTGGGTCAGATGGTCCTGAGCGGTGCTGGGTAACGTGGGTGTAGGAGGCTCCACAGGTACAGGTGGAGGAGGAGGTACAGTCCTGAACTGACAGACATATTCAGGGTCTGCAAACTCCTGTTTAAACTCCCAACCGCTCATGAAGGCGTCGGGGTCGAGATCCCATGGAGACGCCATAGTTTTATGAAGAACTGTAAAACCAAAAAAGAGAATTACTTACAAAGTTATGGAACAAATTACAAACTGTCAGAAATCTCAAATGATCTAAATCTGATATCTGATATTTATTCTGAACCATTTAACCGTGTAAGTTGTTGTTTGACTCCAAAATCCACAAAAATTTAACATTTTAATGAATATGACTTCAACAAATATGTTTTTTTTTTCAATGTACTGTTTCATTTTACTTTTGGACCACTGTTTATCAATCTAACTTCACAAACACCGATTATTCCATCTCCCCAAGCTTCAAAACAACCGTCTTACGTTAGTTTTACGTAATTTGATCAATATTTATGTGTAAAATTGTGTTCAAATATGCTGCGATATCGTAGTTATTCTGTTCATAGCTGTAAATTAATGTACAAATTAAAAGCACTACCAGAAACAACTAAACAGGACCAAAACCTCAACTCTGAAGAAGCTGAAGATTTTTGTGTGGTTCTAAAAGCCTGACCGGTGCTTCATACGCTCACTCACCGTTTGGACTCAGAGAGAACAGTCGGATTTAAACCTTTGGAGGCTTTAAATGGTGCTGTTTGTGAAAAAACTGAGGAGAGAGGCTGTTATGTGGCTCACTGTACAACGACCAGGTCCGAAGTGAAGAAGTTGAACAAAAACAACAGAACTTACCAACGTTTCTAGGCAACACACATTCAAAAATTTGCATATTATGTAACAGAATGCCGAGACCATTTAAGGCAGGCATGTCCAAACTATGGCCCGGGGGCCAAATGCGGCCCTCGGACACATTTTTCTTGGCCCTCAGGCTTCCAGGTAAATTGGCCCAAATGACCTTGCATCAATTAAAAAGAAATTTTTTGCTGCAAGTTTTTTGAAAATCTACCTTGA